ATATTATGAAGTAGCTCGCAAGCTTCACTTATTTGGCCAGCTTTACATAGTCCTTTTATGATGGCATTAAGGGCCCGTTTGGCAAGTTGCCAAATAGTGAAAATTTCTGTTCTTTTGTTTCCAGAATCAATTTGGGAACAAAAATCCGTTTGTTAAAATTTGTGCCCGGGCACAACTTTACAAAAAATTGTTCTCAGAATCAGTTTTGGAACGGAATCAAGAAGCAAAAAAAAGTAGCTTCTTGATTCTGGGAATAATTTTTCCATTTCTGACTCTTTTTGATTTTCTTCTTCCTCTTGGTTTGTTGTTTTTTGCCTGCCGCCGGCCACCAGCGACCGGCCATAGGCCAGGGCCGGTGAGGACTGCTTGCGGCCGCGACGGCGAGGCCTCGCCCAGCCATGGCGAGGGCGGCGACGAGGGCGGTAGCGGGGGCCGCGACGCCCTCGTCGGCCTTGGCCTGTGGCCAATCACCGGCGTCGGCGACTGGCCATGGCCAAGGAAGCGAAGGGAAAGAAAGAAAAAAAAAAGAAAAAAAAAGGGAAAAAAAAGAAAGAAATATTAAAAAATTCAAAATATTATTAATAAAAAGAAATTTTATATAGTTACCATACGCATTTCTGTTCTTTTTCTATTTTAAAAATAAAAATTTTGGGCAGTTACCAAACGCCTTCAAATGCTTAGAAATTGTTATTGTGAACAGAATAAAAAAGAATCATTTCTGAGCAGAATCAGTTCCCGTACACAGAATCGTTGCTATGCACACCCTAAATGCCACAACATTGGGTCGCAATCCTTTGGCATCCAACGAATTGAAGAGGTTCATCGTAGGTCCAAGTTCCCCCACCTCAAACAAGTTGTGTTTACCGGCCGACTCATACTCATAACGGATAAAAATATCATTAGGTTTACGAGTTCTAAACCTTTCAATTGGACCAACTTAGTCATAAATCTTTTGACAATTTGCCTATTCAGTACTAAACCTTTAAAATGTCCCAATTTAATCCTAAACATTTTTTACGATTTGCTAATTTAGTTCTCAATTTTTTGACAATTTGTCAATTAGTCATTCCAGCCAATTTTGGCTTGGCGGTATAGTGAGCGCTGGCTATCCTACGTGGTGCCATCAGCACTAACGTGGATGATTTTTGCGATATTTTAATGTTTCTGGATTTTTTAAAAAAATTTCTTTTCTTTCCTTTCCAACCTTGGGCCGGCAAGGGCCGCTCTCGCTAGATCTGGCCGACCATCACAGCCCTTGCCCGCAGCCGGCGATCTCGTCGACCCAAAGTTGAAAAAAAAGAAGAAAGAAAAGAAGAAAAAGAAAACAAAAAAGAAACAAATAATTGAAAATTTCATAAAAATTAAAAATGGCACAAATTATCGACATCAATGCCGACCGTGCCACGTAGGATAGCTGGCGCTAACTAGATCATCATGTCAGCAGTTTTCAGCCAAACTTCACCGGAAAGACCAAATTAGAAAATCGTAAAAAAGTTTTGAACTAAATTGACAAATCCAATGAAAGGTTTAGAACCGAATCGACGAATTTTCAAAAGGTTCAAGACTAAACTAGCCAAATTAAAAGGTTTAGAACTGAATTGACACAAGTATAATAAATTTAAAATTTTTTTGGTAATTTCCCCCATCATCGTTTATCATCTTCTTTCTAACCTGTTTTCATATTTTCCCTTTAAGATCTTAATCTTCAAGTGATTAGTTGGCTATATATTTTATGATTCGATTTCATGGAGTCCATCGATTCTTCCATATAAAATCCCACAGGAATGCTTGAACTTGAGCCAGAAACTACAATGCTACTTTCTCATCAGAAATGGCAAAGTTAAGAAGAGAAAAAGGAACAGAAAAGGAAGAAACTGAAGAGTACTTGTAATCCGAGATAAAGAGTCCAATCATATCACCTCCTCGTATCCGAGATGATCATTCCTAGGTTGCAAGACATTAATCTCTCTGTTTCACTACGATTTTGAAGTTGCGTGCTTGATAAATCACTTAAAACAACAGAAACAACAATTTGAAGATAGAATGTAATCACTAGGCTAACATTAAGGAACTACTCTCTATCAGCCCCCTGAATTTCAACCAAGTACCCTCAATCTTTCACCTTCACGTCACAGGCTAGACCATTGTGACAATAATTTTCTAGAAAACTCATTAGGAAGGAGGACTGGGTTCATCTTGAAGTTAACTGTACATAAATGTCCCTGCAAGAAACTTAGTATGACCGAAGTAGCAGAAGTTCAAATGCAGATAATTTTCCGTACAACGACATGTTTTCTTCCTTGTAACAAATTAATCTGAGAATATACAGAACTAACTAGTGTTAGATGATGCAAGCCCAATCTTCTCTCATCGAGATAAAAGTAGGCTACTTACTATATGCAACCAATCGCAATTCAGGAGAGCTTACGTCCCCAGTGCAGATTTTCAGGATTCTAATGTATTGTTAGCTGATGCACTCAGCAATTTAGCTGTGGATGTAGTATTCGGTGAGAAGCCTTTCTCAACCATCTCCCTTAAAAGAAGCACTGCCCTCGCTTTCTGACCATCTTCAAGGAGTGCTCGGATAATAATGTCATACACGACACCATCTGGAGGACATCCCTTCTCTTTCATATTATGAAGTAGCTCGCAAGCTTCACATATTTGGCCAGCTTTACATAGTCCTTTTATGATGGCACTAAATGTCACAACATTAGGTCGCAACCCTTTGGCATCCAACGAATTGAAGAGGTTCATCGCAGGTCCAAGTTCCCCAGCCTCACACAAGCTGTTAATAAGGATGGTGCAGTGGACGATATTAACATCGCCGATGCAATCTTCCGTTTGTCGAAACAATGCCATTGCCTTGTCGACTTGTTGATTTTTGCAAAGGCCATCTAACATGATGGCATAAGTTTGTTGATCAATATGATTGCAAGCCAGCATTTTGTAAAACAGCTGATGTGCAACCCTGGGGTTTCCAGCAAGGAAAAAGCCACGCATAAGACAACTATAGGTGGCAACATTAGGGACTAATCCTTTCTCCAACATTTCGCCAAGGAGACTCATCGCCTTATCGACTCTTTTAACCACAAAATACCCATTAATCAATGTGTTATAGGTCACGACATCAGGATTGCATTTCCTTGCAGTCATCACACAAAATGTCATTGCAGCATCATCCATTCGATTCTGAAGGCAGTAACCATTGATTTTTTTTTTTTTGGTCAGCAGTAACCATTGATTAATGAGTTGTAAGTAACTACATTCGGCTCAACATCCATCTCGAACATCGTATCTAATATCCGCTTCCCCTCATCAGTCATGCCCTGTTTGCAGAGTGCATCCAAGATAATATTGAAGGTTTGACAACCTGGCCTGGTTCCTCCCCGCACCATCTCACTCAACTGGACTTGAGCTTCTTCCCATTGACCACAAAGGCATAGACCGTGGATGAAGGAGTTATAGGTGATAACATCTGGGTGGATTCCATCATTAATCATCTTCTCTAACAAGGTCTTCGCTTGTTTCCAATCGCCTATGCAGCCTAAGCCATGAATCAAGGTATTATAAGTGAAGATATCTGGGCGAATTCCCTGGTGACTCATGCAGTCAAAGAAGCCAAATGCCTCCGCCACCAGTCCTTCCTTGCAATAACTATCGATGATCGTGCTGTACATGACCACATTCAGCTCGCAACCCCTTTCTTCCATATTCCTCATCAACCGAACGGCTGTCGAAGTATGACCAGCTCTACACAATCCCTTCACGATGACACCGCACGTAACTACATTGGCCTAAAACCCTTTGCCCTGCATTTCTTCCACCAAGGTCAAGGCTCGTGCGATCTTACCCTCTTCACAGAGCCCGTTGAGCAAAGTGGTCAAGGTCACCACACTCGGTTCAAGCCCAAGCTTGAACATTTTGGTCAAAACGGAAAATCCAAGATCAGTCCTTTTCAAGTGGCAGAGGCAATTTATCAGAATGCTGAGAACGTAAATGTTGCGAGATATCCTCAAGGAGTCCATCCGCTCGATCATGTGGATGGCGATAGCATAATGCTTCGTCCTCACCGCAGCTCCCAAGAGTTGGATAAAACAGGGAGTTGAAGGCAAAGGGTTCAGCCGAATCATAACCTTAAAATAATGCAAAGCATCGTCGGCTTTTGCCAACCCGCCATTTTTGCATAAATTCATCACAAATTCCAAAACTTGGGATCGGTTCAGGGAATCGCTCAGTCCAGAAGTGGAGCGTGAAGTGCGAAAGTGACGGGAGGGAGAGGAATCGACAATGCGAGGAAGAAGAAGAAGAAGAGCCGATGCAAAGACGGGAGGAGAGGGAGTGAGATTACCAGATGGTGGTCGAACAAGAGGAGGAAGAGCAGAGGGATTTACCATTCTTCGCATCGTTTCTTTCCAGCAAACTTCTCGTCGTCGTCGTCTTTCTCTCGACAGCTTCAAAGGTTTTAAAAAAGACAGCAACTTTCAAGTATGTTTTCCTGTTTCTGGTTTTCTGTCGGTGAAGGGAGATGAGGGAGATGATGGGTATTCGTTGGAATCTGCAAAGCTCTTGGGAGTAAAAATGGAGAGAAAGTTGAAGGATTCGAAGCAGCGGAGAAGGAGAAAGAGAAGGCGAAGGGGAAGGTGAATGGACATTATCGCTGTTCATCATCCCCTTCACTTCATGTTATCAGATAACATGTTATCATACGAGATGGAGGTTCTGAGTTCAAATCTTTCTAAATCCCATTTAGTTCCCTCAACTAAATATATCTACGCTTAGTACTAGGCAAAAAAGACCGGACTAAATATGATGAGAAGTGTTAAATTAATTAAGTATTAAATCACGTCTTTATCTAATATCTTAAACGAGAAAATATTGCGTGAGTGGAATACACCACGTCAGCAATACATAACACCATTGAGCGGAAGACACGTGGCAAGAAGGGCCCACAGATCAGATTTACTAAAGAATCAGCCGCTTTCCCTTCTCTCTCCCATTCTCCGTTAACTCTCCTCCGTTAGTGCTCAAATATTCACTTTTCACCTCCTGGTTTCTCTCTCCTTTACTCCTCCCGCTCAAAATTCCTCCCGCTCGTGACTTCCTCTTTCTTCCTCCCCGACTTCCTCTTCCTTCCTCCCCGACTTCGCATCCTTTGGTCGTGAACCCGCCGCGCCTACACCGGTTGCCTCCGCCGTCCCCTTCTAGAAAACCCATTTGCTCTCTCTCTCTTTCCTCCGCGAAGCGCGGCTCTTTTTGTGGACCGCGCCTCTGCCTCCGCCGGTTTCCTCCGTCGTCGCCTCCCGGAGCCCATCGGTGGCTCAGATCCTGACCACGCGGCCGCCTCCGCCTACGCCGTCGCCGTCTCCTCCGAAGCCCTCCATTGGCGATTCGTCCTCTGCCACTCTCTCTATCCCGAGAAATGGCTCCGCTCTGCTCTCTGTGACGAACCGCGCCTCTGCCGTCGCCTCCCGCAGCCCCTTTGGAGATCTCGGGCTCCGACTCGCCCTCTGCGTTACCTCCCGAAGCCCCATTCTCAGGTTAGGGTTTTGTATGACTTGAAATTCCCATCGTTTTTGCCCTAACGTGAAGATTGGTGGCTCAGATCTCGACCACGCGGCCGCCTCCGCCTACGCCGTCGCCTCCGAAGCCCCCCATTGGCGATTCGTCCTCTGCCCCTCTCTCTTTGTCCCGAGAAACGGCTTTGTTCGGCTCTCTATAACGAACCGCGCCACCAACAGGTTCCCTATTATTATGTTTTTTTGGCGTTCGGGCAGATTGTCGGATTGGTCGTGCTTAATTTGTCAAATAGTCAGCTTGAGGTTCGTTTGGTGAATGGGTGATAATGCTTGTGCTTGTTATGACTGTGTGGTAAATGAAAGATGTGGCCTGTGCTCATTCTTACGCTCTCTATTGATTTTGGTTGAAAGAACATCAGGCATTTTTCTTGAGTGCAATCTGTGGATAATGCCACAGACAACCATTTTTGTTCTTGTGCTGGAGAGAATAGATGCAAGCATCATAGGTTGTCTCTTCATTGGATTTCATCTGCAAAAATATAAAAGGGATCTTTTCAGTTGCATTGCTTTGAGATTATTGAGCTCTATTAGTTAAGTGCATCAATTAGTCTATTTTCTGCAAACTGATTATGTTCACGTTCGACATTTTTGTTAATTGTAGTCAATTCAAGTGTGGATCTAATTATGTTTAAATAACTGGCTTTTTTTATATTTTTTTATCTTGAGTTCCCCCTTGCAGTTTGGTTTCGTGATCAATGAGCGGCCGAGGATCAATAAGAACAAGCACAAGGTCATGTAAATTTATCTGTACTTTTTGTAACACTGAAAATCAGGGCCCTCCATGTTGTTTGCGCTTCAAGAATTATTGTCCTCCATCTGTAAACTGTCAAGGAAACTAGATCGGATAAAGCACTATCTAGTTAGAGCCACTATGCCTCTAACAGCTTATGTTCCTTTATCTTGCATCCACGGAAGTTGAAGTAGGCAATGATCCATTTGGATTTCTATTACTTGATGAGGAGGACATCGAGAAAGCCAAAACAGAGATTGCGTACATGGATGCTTTTATCTACTATCTGATATCTGAGTTAAGATGGAGGAACATCATCATGGAAAATCCATAGGAGGAAAAAATGGAACTCATGTGCTATTGGCCTTACCTTGCTCAAGGCAATTTAGGAGCTCTTTTAAGTTAAATTCTAGTTGATTCAAATATAAATGGCAATGGTCCTGGAAGATCAACTTAAGTAGATGATGATTTAGCTAGACATTTTAGTAACGCATTTCTTCAACTTTTTCAGATATTTGTTGAGGTAGCTGGTACTTACAGGGTGATTATGCCTTTTGCAATTAACAAGCAAAAATGAGAATCTTTGAGTTTTCACTCAATTTGATAAGACAAGTGTATCCATTGAATCAATGTAAATGTGGATAGGATACACTTGAACTATGCCTTTCGTTTTTCTTATATATGTAAATTTGGGTGTATAGCTTACATCACAAATTTCCTACATGTAAGTTTGCCCATCTACTTCCTTTGATTTTACTTTCATTGTCCCTGAAATGTTTCATACATGATAATCCAGGATCTCCTGCATGCATTGAAATATTGCTTGAAGTCTGATGATGCGATTCACTATGCACAATATGTGAGTACTTTTATCGTTTCTTTAATTAGCATTAAGATATCACCGGAAGTTTGTGGACAATAGCACAAACTCCAACATTTAGTACCACTAATATTTGCACTAAAAACTTAATAATTCCTTCGTGTGATATCTCTGTAACACTAGGTTTTGAGGTGGGAAGAAATGCTTGCTGTTGAACGTGCTCATTTGTCGCGGGAGGAACAGGCAATTTTTTAACTCTTCCTTTTATTGCCAAAGTTCAATATCCTGATCATTTCTCTTGTGAGAAATCCATAATATAGGATGTATTTGCAAGCAATGTACTGCAACCTATTTGGGCTACTATGTTTATTTGTTGGGCTTATTTGCAAACAATAGACAGTCTTGAGTGGATGTACCGATGTACCAGTAGAGTCGCATCTTAGTGAAACTCAAAGCTTAGAAATAGTAGCTAGAATGAATTTGTTAGATGTTAACTTGTAAATTATGTTGTCTGGGTGGCTGGCTTTACTGCTTTGTCTAATTGAAAATCATTGGATATCTAATCTAATGAATCAATAGTTGATTGTTTTTATTGGTTGTGGAGCACTTCTGCCGTGGTTAGTGTGGTTAAAGCCAATATGCAACGTGATATGTTAATGTTAGGGATTTTGGAATGACAACGGTGACTATAAAAGTATAGCTGATCCTGAAAATTATGTATAGAATGTAGACATTCTATGGTACACATGGTGATCAATTTGCCAAATTTATTGGTTTTTTAATAGCTTGTCCGGATACTTCATTTAGACACAATGGATTAATGCATAAGATATGAACTTTCCTTGAATCTTTTTTTTCTAGACATAAAACTATCTAAGAAAAAGTAGGTGTGGCTCCAATGAGGGAAAGACATAAGTCCATGATACCCCATTGAGATTATTTTTCCTGTTTGGCAGTAAGTAAGAGATTAAACCCCAATATCGTTAATTTCGATTTTCCGTTCGTTATTGATGACGATGTGGAGTTTAGTAATTACATTGGGTCCCTAAATAAATCCCATGCTTGTATATTTTGCTGATTGTGTTTGATTGTGCTCTAAAAATGTTTGTGTGAGTGATTATGTTCTAAAAATGTTTGTTTTTTATTTCATTAGGAGGGAACTTCATAGTCTCTCATCACCTCAGTTATTTTGCACTTGTAAAGATATCAAATGGCTGACTTAGAGGTAATTCTTTACTCATAAAACATAATTTGCTTTCTTAAGTAAAGGATGAGATGCTATTTTTCTTGAATTATTTTTTGTTCATTTGATTGCAGCATGAAACTTCCCATCTTGCACATGTGATGCGTGATATGGACAAAGATTTTGAGTTTGTAGTAGGGATGGTTTTCTCAAATGAACTTGAAGCATATCATAAGTATGTGGCTTATGCAATCAGCAAAGGATTTGGAGTGAGAAAAGGTAATGCGGTTAAAAATAGAAAGGGTGAAATAACCCGGCGAACTTTTTTGTGTAATTGTGAGGGGCATTCGGTTGGGTCATCTGATCAAGAAAAGAAATATGAGAGATTTGAAGTTAGATGTGGGTGTCTTGCTCATATCAAATTTAAGGTTGATAAGGGTGTCTATGAAGTCATGGACTATGTTTCTGAGCATAATCATGCATTTGTACGGGAAGATCAAAAGCATTTGATTAGATGTGGAAGAATGATATCTGACACGTGCAAGGGTGTTTTGGTTGATATGATTAAAGCAGGCATTGGGGGGACTTCGGCATATAAATTTTTAGCAAACGAAGCTGGAGGAAGCAAAAACTTAGGTTTCATCCTGCGTGATTGTCAAAATTTTTTGCAAACGGAAAAATCCAAGGTTATAAGTGGCGGAGATTGTCAAAGTCTTTTGAACCATTTTCATTGCATGCAAATGCAAAACCCAATGTTTTTCTATGCTGTTCAAGTAGATCAAGATGGTAGATTGACCAATTTATTTTGGAGAGATAGCTTGTCTAAATTTGATTATGACTGTTTTGGTGATGTGCTAGTGTTTGATACCACATACCGTACCAACAAATATAACATGATATGTGCACCTTTTGTTGGGGTTAATCACCATTGGAAGAATACTCTGTTTGGTTGTGCATTTTTGCTGGACGAGACTGCAGAATCATTTATTTGGTTATTTGATGTGTTTTTGAAGTCTATGGGAAATAAGGCTCCGAAAACCATATTCACTGATCAAGACCAAGCCATGGCAAAAGCCATTAGAATGGTGTTTCCAAATACACAGCATCGTTTATGCACTTGGCACATCGGGAAAAATGCCAATCAAAACATTCCACATCTTTACCATAAGCCAGGTTTTAAGGATAAATATTTCTTAGTGCTTATGTATAGATGCAAATCAGAGGACGAATTTGAAGCTACATGGAGGGAAATGGAAGAGGTGTGGGGTACTAAAAATAACAATTGGCTTCGGAGATTATATGACCTTAGACATAAATGGAGTTCAGCTTTTGGTCGTGACTCTTTTACATGTGGTATAAGGTCAAGTCAAAGGAGTGAGAGCACCAATAATGTCTTCCAACATATGTCGACGAAGACATTGTCTCTTGTAGAATTTGTCCACCATTATGAAGAACAATTGAAACATGTGAGAGAAGTTGAAAGTCAAGATGATTATAGTTCTCGTGGGACAGCCAAATCGCAGGTTAAAAATAATGGGATCTTGTCACATGCTGCTTCGGTATATACCCGTACCATTTTTCTAAAGTTTAATGAAGAATTTGTGCAAAGTCTCTCTGAACATATTTCAAGTACTACATCTGATGGATCGGTTTCTTTATATACTCTCAAGTGTATGGGGATTGGGATTCAAGGTGAATATGTTGTTAGATTTGACCCTGCAGACTTATCAGTTTCTTGTGAATGCAAATTATTTGAATCAAAAGGGTGGTTGTGTCGCCATGCCTTACGCGTGTTGAATGTGAACATGTCGATGGTTACGGTAATTCCTTCTTCCTATATTTTGAAAAGATGGACTAAGGATGCCAAAGAAGGGATTGTCAATGATGAATCCCATCAAATGTCACCGGGTCCATCTAAATTTAATCGATTTTCCACGTTAATGCATGAATCCATTGAACTGATGAGTTTGGGAGCTGAAGATGTACATACTATGAGAATATTGAGGAAGCACATGGTTAAAGCAAAGGCTGAAATTTCATCATACAAATCAAGTATGGTTGTGACTGATGATGCTGGTGATGATGAGTATAATGAGGCTTCTTTGTGCGATATTTCGGTAGCGGACCCCATTCGAAGGAAACGAAAGGGACTAAGTTACGGAAGGCTTAAAAGCTCCAGTGAGAAAAAGAAGAAAACATCTAAGAAAGGAACTCCCCCAACGCAAATAGAAAGTCAAGGTGAGTGACATATTATTCTACTTATTATAATTAGTTAAATTTTTCGCTTATGTTACATGATACCAATTAATGTATCTATTACTTTGTAATGTAGAGTTGGTTGTCCAAGCGACGCATAATGAAACTCAGTTCCTAGATTATTCGAGTAATTCAAATCAGTTTCGAAGTGCCGTTTATCCTAGCAACATTGGTGGTCCTACTGTAAATCTAAATTTTCATAATCAGGTATATTGCTCTTTGTCCTCAATTTGTATTTATGTTTTACTAATTGGTCATTTTTTTATATGGATGCAGCAGCCACCATTCATCATGCCGTCCGGGATTATGAGTGGATTTTGCCCAGTCCCTAGTCGGGTATTTAATAGTTTGGTGATCAATTAGTTTGTTTGTATGTTCTTCAAGTTATGGTGCCTCTTTATGCTAATGAGGTAATTTATCTAATGTAGATGCAATCACCATACATCATGCCGCCGAGGAGTGGATTTTCCCCATTCACTAGTCAGGTGCTTATTATGAAATCATTTTAGATTCTACTGTTATTTGAACTTTTTATTACTATTGTAATATTTGTTGTTAATGGTTTTTTCTGGATAGATGTTGGAGTACCATAATCAATCCCACGGAACCATTTTGAGCCAGGTACAACTTGCCTTTTGTTGATGTGGGATTACTTGAAACATATTGATCTAGGCATATTGTTTAGTAAAATGTAAATATATTTGTTATTCTCTTATACAGGGGTCATCAAACTCTTGTCAGCATCCTAGGATGAATGAATCCGAAGCCCCCTTTGAAAGCATAGACAATGCACGGTCGCAACACAAATAGTCGGGAGGAACCCTCGTAATAAGTCTCTTCACCAAATAAAATATTTTTTGCGTCCTTCTCTGATAAGGTAACTATTGTAGTATGAGTTCACTGTGACTTGGGATTTGCATCTGTGCCTTTTATATGAAAAGATTTTCCTTTGTATTTCCTTGGTTGTTACTTGGAAGAAATGTTTTTATATTTCCAATTTTGTTAGTTGGGCTATAAATCCAGTAGGAACCAAGTTCGATATTCATTTGACGTGATGTAGTGATTAACTAGGGCATAGTTTCAATAGACATTAGAAAAGGATTGTTAGAGTAGTAAAGATTTAGTTCTATGTAAGTTATGATCTTATCAAACTTGCTTAGAGCTTCACCCATATGCAGAGATTCATTCTTCTTCAGAGTATTCACTATGTTCTCTCATTTTCTTATAGTTATGGGTATTCCAAAGAAAGATTTGTTTGGGCTCTGATATCTGTTGTTGGCATTTTTTTGTCTTGGGTCTGGTGCTACAATTGTTAATGGAATTCGAAGCTTGTGGATTGCACACGTAATCTTCTTTTTTTGTCTTATCCTTTACCGTTCTTCTAAAGTTTTAGCCAGTTCATAAAATGGGCAAAGTTGTTCTTGATATATAAGGTCATTGTCTTCTTTAGCGTTCGGAAAATATCCAATATGCAGCTTCAGTGATCGGAGGCTCATTCATGATCGAAGGTATTTCGACTTACCATTTGTTTTGGGCTGCTACTTATAATGAAATCATTGGTATTTTGACTTACCATTTAGTAATCGGAGGCTCATTCACCTATAATATTTGTTCAGTGATGTGCAGATCAAGAGTGATTTGAACCTGTCAACTGGTGTGAAGTGTTAGTGTGAAGTTTCAAGAATGATCTGAAGGAACAAGTTTGTATGGCGTCGTCTCACAATTTAGTATTTGGGTCCAGAATGCATGAACCCATGCATTTATTGAAGATGATTGGTTTTGATTCAAGCTAGCAAAATTACAAGCTCTACTATACTTGACTGAAAATGTATTTATGTATCATAGGTGGATTCTAAATTGATTCCCTTGTCTAAATTGAACAGGGGACCTAGTGAGAAGCCAAAGAAGAAGCACCACCAGCTACAAAGACTCGCAATTGAGTTAGTATATGCAACAAAATGGGCAGATTTCTCTTTATCCATAGTTGGATTTATCTTATAGAATTTTATTGGGCTTTCAGGGTACCGAACAAGGCAAAGGAGTGAGAACCATGATGAAGAACACTGAAGAGTACACAAATTTTGGTGTTCCTTGTGTCTTTAGTAACTATGTTAGATTATTTTTGCCTACTTGTTTCTGTTTGTTTTGGAACTTACTGTTTCATTCGGTAGAAAGACGGAGTCTGATGATTTTCAAAGTTTTATTTAGATCCTTGTCTTTCCAATTATTACCGTGGATTTCATTCTTTTAGTGTTGCACTTGGGTGTGACTGTTTTTCTCTGATACATCCGTACTCACTTCGTTGGATCCATCTATGTGCATTATCAATTTGTATGAATGAAGATTCTCTTCTGAAAAAGAGAGTGGCAGCATTGGAAAGCTGGTACACCCATATGTCGTAGAAGGGTGCATTACCTATAGCAGTTACATTTGTCGTGACCAGAGTTGAAAATGATCATAATTCGTGGTGTTCTATGACCATGTAGGGGTTTATCTTGCGTCAGAATAAGCAAAGCTGATATTGTTCGGCATACTTCAGATAAAAAGCGTTATGTTGCTTAAAACAGGCAAGCACCGTGTGTTGATCTTGTCTATCAAGAAAATTGACTCGAAAAACGATTATGTTTTGAATTAAGGTCTGCTTCTGGAGTGGAAGATGGGAATTTCTTCATTGGGACTTAACAAAATGACTAGCTGGATGAAAAATTTAGCATCCTGTTCAGGATAAGGTCTGTTTCCACAAGTTAGAGCATCATTTTCAGTAAATGAATTCCACATTTGAGGTCTGAATATTAGTTTCTTCTTTTTGTATATCTCTGCAATCTTAATTTCAATGTTCCTTGCACGGATTTGGAGCTTTTAGCAGTTCTTTCGTGCAATATTGCAAGTTTTTTTTGTGTCAATATGCCTTTCACATCTCCACATAAGTACATGGATATACATAAATTAAAGGAGGAAGAAAAGAAATGGGCACAAGACTAGCCAAACTGTCTGCAACGCGGAGCTTGAGCGCAAAATTTGGTTGCGCCATAACTTTCTCCACTAAACTCCATTCCAAGCGAGCTTATAGTTAAAAGAAAGCTCATTCAGAGCACTACAAGAACCCTAACTTGGCCGTCCCAAAATCGAGCCGAAAGCCGATGAAAATTGGCCTAAAAGCCGCTGGTCGCGCACTGTTCACTACGCGCGCTCAACTTCAAAAATTCATATCCGGCAAACCGTAAGTCCTAATCGGTTCCGTAAAATCTCACAGTCCCGCAACATCCTAAACTACCAATTCTATATATATATATACGCAGCTCAACGACTCAAAAATCGGATTTCACCGCTCGAATAACACATAAATGGGCACAAAGACTAGCCAAACTGTCCACAACGCGGAGCTTGAGCACGAAACTTGATTGCGCCATAACTTTCTCCACTAAACTCCGTTCCAAGCAAGCTTATAGTTAAAAGAAAGCTCATTCGGAGCACTACAATAACCCTAATTTGGCCGTCCCAAAATCAAGCCGACAAAAATCGGCCTAAAAGCCGCTGGTCGCGCACTGTTCACTGCAAGCGCTCAACTTCAAAAATTCATATCCGGCAAACCGTAAATCCTAATCGGGTTCCGTAAAATCTCACGGTCCCGCAACACCCTAAACTACCAATTCTACATATATACGCAGCTCAACGACTCAAAAATCGAACTTCGCCGCTCAAATAACATATAATTCCGAAATATGAGCCCTAACTCGGAAAAATATTCCAATTGAACAAACGCGGGGTGTGAATACTTACCGGACATTGCTAATCAAAGTCAAATCGGCTTGGCGAGACCCCCGCGGCACAAAACCCTCTTCTCTTTTTCTTCTTTCTCTTTCCTTTCCTCTCTTTTGTTCTCTTTTCTTTTGTTTCTCGACAACTCTCGGCCCCTTTAAAAATTAGAAGATGTCCACTGTAGTTTTTGTTGACTTGTTGGCTTGTTGAGACTTTTTTTCCAAATATTACAAGTTCTCTCGCTAAATCCTGAGTTTTGTTTTCCATTCTCTCCCAATCTTACTAACAAGTGAAGAGAGTTGTGAAATAACATAAAATGGCATCCATCTTGCAGACAATTACACTACTTAAAGAGCAATAAGTATATCTAATCTCCATGTTGCGACAATTCCATCCAATATTAACAAATTACATAATGACTTATGAAAAAGAGAATCTAGTTGGCCATTCTACTGTAATGCAGAAACAACCAAGCCAAATGAAAACAACAAAGTCAATCAGTTCACTCATATTGACAAGCTCACCACAAGCGACCTCACCCTAACCAGAGGGCAGAAACAGAGGAGGTGCTATGTAGTTTATGGGAATTGCTAAAATAGAGGGCAGAGTGGATTGAGTAGGATCTTTCGCTTGAACAAATCAGACTATCTTTCCAAAAATAGTCATAACCAGACAATCTTTGCTGAAACAGTCAACCAAGAATTTGATTGAAGAACATGAAATCCCAAGTTATCATAATAAAGAAGCCGTAACTAGACTATCTTTCCCACGATCATTGCATAATGGAATAGTCAACATCTCATTCACTGAATCCATCAGCAACAAAAGAACAAAAACAACCACATCACTTCCCTGAACCCATCATCAACAAAAAAATACAGCCACATCACTTCCCTAAACCCAACCCTCACAAATGGCTATCATTCTTATAGGTCAGAGTTGCGTCCTTTCAATATTTTTTTTCTTTCTTGATGGCCTTGCTACTTTAACTGGAACTTCAACTTCAGCTTCTTGTGATGTTGATTCAACATGTGCTTGTGTATCAATTCTTTGTCTCTTGTCCTCTCTAGCACTTTTACTCTTAACCTAATATTATAAGATTTCATTAATTTAAAAATCGTTGTTAGTAAAAAAGTAAATCTAACAAAATGGAAGTACTTACCGGAAGTTTTTGCCTAGACAATGGTGTTTGTGATGCCGCTAACCCAGCCTTCTTAGTGGGGCATGTTAAACTATTGTGTCCCGTCTTCTTGCAACTTCGACATGTCATCTTCATTCCTACCCTCGACATCCTAATACCACTTGCGACCTCACCTTCCTCTCTTATTCTTTTATGTTTGCGTCTACCAGGCTTCGCCCTCGCTGGAAGTGATTCAGGGGCCTCCTTATTAGTCTTTTTCCAAAATTTCTCTCCTCGTATGGGTTGAATCATGTTCTGATATGCAGCTACGAACTTGGTCTTCTTATAACACTCATCCACTTAGTCATATGCATCCTCTTGCCTATGATTTAGAGCAGAAATGGCATGAGGACATGGGAAGATGAATAGTATCACCATACTAATACGCATACATTTATATGATAAGCAATAAACTTATCTATCACATAAGCTAGGAAGTTCTATCAACCAACATATCAATGAATATAGTGTGACATTGCGATAAGTGATACCTACATCTCAACCCAATATGAAATAGCACTTTATTCTACATCCTCTCTCAATTAGTTGTTTGAATAGACATCTCAGTTCATAAAAATAAAAATCATGCTTTCAAAGTCAAATGACAGGAAAAAAACATTTAGAATGCGTCATTTGCTTCTTCTTCATTAGAAGACGGTAAGGAAATTGTTGCTTAGGAGATTGAAGATCCATTAGGAGACTGTGAATGATTATTACCTGGGTTGGAAGGAAAAGACCAGTTGCCATTTAGTTTGGTTAAATGCAGATACATGTATGACGCGATCACTCCATTCTAAGTCCTTCCACTCATCAACAACACCATCATAGTGGAAAAGCATCACCACAAAATCATTTGACAGAAACTGCAAAGTGAAAATTGACACAGCTTAGCCTGGAAAAAGCTCGAGAAAAATAGGCTAAGCAACGGCCGAAAAGTCTCCTCACCTTTGTAACCATTTTATTCACAAGATCCTTTTGCTTGATTCCAACAGCCACGGCAAACAAGTTAGACGAAGAACTAAGAGAGCCCTGTCCAAAGATCAAGCAAGTTAATGCATGTTCAGAACTATGATGTTATATCTTCTACATTGAAAAAACTATTGTCATTTCAGGCTGTTTTTTTACCTCTGCAGAATCCCATAACGGCCTCATTTCCAAATCAGAAGAATTGGCAACAATACCTTCTGGTAAGGCCTCAGTTCCACGTGGTCCGCATCGATTCTGAAATGAAAACACAAATAAGCTATTAAGCAACAAGTGAGACATCTGGCATGGCACAATTA